CATCCTTCTCTCCGCGCCAAGGGTGGTGGCAGGAAAGTGCCCCCAACCCAGACTCAGGGTCTCTGGGACTCCCTGGTGAAGTTGAGCCTGGTAGCTACAAAATAGGGCTGGGGATGTGGCTCAGTGGTTAAGTGGCCCTGAGTTCAATCCCTAGTACAAAAAAAAAAAAAGAAAGAAAGTAAGTTTAAAAATCACATCTGTGGCTCTAGTGTGTCTTTCATTGTTGTGTTTTTTGGCGTTTTTGGAGATCAAACCCAGCACTTCATGCATGGTAGGTAAATACTCTATCACTGAGCTACATCCCCAGCACTTTTCTTTATTTTTATTGAAGAATTCCTTCTGGAAGGCTCACCTGCTGCTTCCCTATACCATTTTGGGTATGAGGGTGGAAACCTATAAGAAAACATGGTTGGTTTTTTTTTTCTAGTACTGAGAATGGAACCCAGAACATCACACATGCTAGGTAAGTGTTTTTCTACTAAGCCACATCCCCAGCCCTCAAGGGTGGACTTTAATGCAATATTAATGCAATATTTTCAAAATATCTTTATCCCAGATGTATTGTCCCTATCTTTTCTTGAAGGTAGACAGACTTTTCCTTTTTCTCTTGTGGCTTCTAAGGGAAACTGATGAATAGTGTCTTCAATCAATCAATCAATCAATCAATGTATTTACCATGATGGAGAATATAATTAGAGAGAAATGGGTTTGGTTTTAAACAAATTCTAGGGTCAATGTACTTGATGGGACATGGGACAAGGGAGCCTACACGTGGCTCAGGGGATGGGTCCTAGGATGGTCACCTGATTCAAGGTAAGCCTGTGAGCTACTTTCCAGGGAGACTAAGGGATTCTAGCAGCATGTGGCTGCTTTCTTGAGTAGCCCTGCACCAAGCCCTAGTTATAGAAGTCATGACTACTTTTGGTCATGTGTCTGCAGAGCAGGAAAGATCACTTTAGAAGAGAAGAAAGAACCCCTTGGAGAAGGTTTATCCAGGGTTACTGGAAGCCTTCCAGCTCTGCATCTCCTCTTACTGAGCTCTCCCAACAGTTTCTGACCTGAGAAACTCCCAAGTCCTCAGAATACATTCCCTGAGGGTCCTCCTGTTACCTGCAAAAGAAAGAAGCTTAACGGAATAGTGGCTTCAAAGAGGGAACATTAATGGGAAAGGTTTATGTTTTCTAGCTCAAGGAGAAAAAAAAAAGCATATTTATTTATTTATTTTCAATAGAAAAAGCTAATCAGTGGCCTTCTTGTTCAGGGTAGCTGACAGTTCTCTGTAAGGCCCTGCAACTGCATTTTGGGTTCAACAGACTTTTGTGGCTGGCCTGGGAAGCAGATCACCATTTATAACATTGTTTCTAAGGGAGACACATTCCAAGATCCAAACAATGAATTCAATAAGGAATGTTTGGCTTCCAAGCAGGATGAGCTGATCGGGCTGTAAATTGGGGAACTGGCCACCATTAATCGTTATGCTCCCTTCCCCTTTGGCTGGGACCTTTCTGCAGGGTGGAGGTATGTATGCGGGGTGGGGGTGGGGGGGAGAAATCTGAAAGGAGGGTAGAGAACCCGTAGCTGGGGTGTTTGAGGACCTCCTCCTGGACACTGGAAGTCCCCGAAGGTCCAGGGATGGAGAAGAGGGGGAGGTGAAAGATGGACAAAGAAACTTGTCCTCCTTCACATTGCTGTCACGTCTGCCAGCCCGCCAAGTCGACAGGGCGTGTTTAGCGTCTGCCCAACTCCAACCCTTTGGGGGAATAAGCTGGGATGATGTGGATAATAAAAACCAAACCAAGTAAAACGGCACATCTCCTGCGTGGGGAATCCGGTCGCTCTAGGTGGGCTCGGTAGAGCAGTGTGACTACTCCCTGGGAGTGGCTGTCACCGCGCCAGGCGAGCCGAGGAGCCGGAGCCAAGTCTCCATCCCACTTGGAGACGGCAGCGGCGATGGGGTGAGAGTAGCGAGCTCATCTTCCCACCCCGCACACTTACCCCCTTCTCACCTCCCCCAGCCCGGAATAAGCCCTGGCAGCCCGAGCCCCGACTTGGCGGGCGGGGAAGGGGACGAGCAGTCACAGCATTGTCTAAGAGGGAGGGGAGAAGCTCCGCCCTCTGGAGGGGAGAGAGGGGAAGGGAGGGCGGGAGCGGAGGGAAGGAAGAAAGGCGAGCGAAGAGGGTGGGGGAGTGATGGAGAGCGAGAGAAAGAGAAGGAGAGAGGACGGTCAGACCCGGTAGGGCTGATAAAGGCAGAGGGACGGGAAGGAGGGCGCGGAGGGGAGCAAGGAGGGCGGGGCGGCCGACCCCCCAGAGCGCTGCCACCTCCGCCGCCGCCCGGCCCGACTGAGCTGGGCCGCCGGTCGCTGGCAGAGGCGCGGCTGGAGCATCCCCGCCCCCGGCAGCGGCGCCCCCACTTTGCACCTCCTTGGTCCCAGCGGCGCGCGCGGGATGCAGCTGGCCCGGGACGCAGGCAAGGCACCTGGCACCGGGCGCTGGGAGCTAGGCACGGGCGCCCGATGCTGGGCGCAAGGTGCAGGGCACCGGGCGGTCCCCTTCCCGCGTCGCCCCACCTCGCCCAAAGTTTTTCCTCCGTGGCCCCAGTCCCGTCCCGGTCAGCCCCTCAGTCTTCTCCTGTCCCCGGTCTCCTTCCTTTTCCCCCAGCCACGGGGGGAGCCCAGCGTGAGAACTGCCCCAAGGGCCTGGTAGGCGCCCAGCCCCAGCCCACCCGCCTTCTGCCCCAAGAAAGTTGTGGCTCTGAGTTCCTCCCCTTTAACCCTTGGGGGGTGGGGGTCCATCCTTCTCTCCGCGCCAAGGGTGGTGGCAGGAAAGTGCCCCCAACCCAGACTCAGGGTCTCTGGGACTCCCTGGTGAAGTTGAGCCTGGTAGCAGGTGCAGAGCTGGGCAGGCCCAGCAGCCCTGGGGAGTGTCCGACCCCAGTCCTCCCTTTCCTTCCTGGAAGCTGGACAAGTTCCCCAAAGGCTAATCCCGGTTCCCGGCGCGCACATGGCTCTCTCTGCCTTACAAACTGCTGCTGGGAGCTCGGAGGCCTGTGGTCCTCGGTGTACTTCCTCTTTGCGGTCTCCCGGCCGCCTGGGTAGCTAGTGCCTGAGGTCACTGGGGACCCAGCTTTGAGTCCTTTCTGAGCAGGTGCTTTGGGCGGCCTAGGCAACTTCTGCATTTCATAGTGCACTCAGCTCTAAGCCTGAGAGCCCTGGGGACAGCGCAGAGTGGAGGTGGCCTGAAAGGGAGACCAAAAGTTCTGTTTTTCTGGATGATGTGTGGCCTCTGCACTGTCCATTAGCACCTCTGTACCTCCATAACTAAGAAGCTGAGAGCCAGGCTTCTTAGGGCTGCATACACTTTGATTCTCAGGTATCTGGAACCCAGGGGCCTAGAACGCATTCCTCCGGAGAGAGCAGAGTCCTAGTCTGCAGCGGGCCAGGGTTATAGTAAGTACCTTCCTTGTGATGAATGAATGTGTGAAGGAATGGAACCACAAATAGCGATTTGTCTCTGAGCAAATTTTATTCCTGCCAGTTAGTTCTGACACAATTGGAGGAAAGAATTGGTAACCCCAATTCTATTTAAACAGGTGGGAGTCCAAGTTCTTCTTTCAGGAGCCTGTGGATGGGGATCTGAGGTTGACCCATCTTACTTTTCAACCCACATTTACTTACTGGGTACTTTATCTGCAGGTTGTCTGAGGGTTAAAGAAACCTCTCAAGGCAAACATATATTGGGTTTAAGAACAGTTTTGCTGTTGTTGTTTGTTTTTGTTTTGTTTTTAACTTGTATCCTGGGAACTGAGGTCTTGTCCTCTTAAGTGGTGCCTGTTTAGGATCAGAGAGCCTCCCTGGCCTTAGGGCCATGAGTGTGGGCTCTATTTTCTCCTTTGGACAGGGCAGGCTGACATCTGGAATCTCCCTCTGGAAGAGGGCATAGAATGGTGTCTGAACTTGCAGAGGTGGGGTTTTGGACAGAGGGGTAGTTTTTGCCCTGGGAGAAGATGGAGGCAGAGCATGTAGCCTGCCTGGGCACCTGGGGGTGTGGACTGGTACAGTTTGGGATCTCCTGTGCTGGGGGGCCTGGAAGGCAAGACCCACTCCTTTTTTTTTTTTTTAACAAATGGGACAACAAAGTGATGTATTGGGGAGACACAGGATAAAACTTGGGGTATAGCCTAGACCTATCCCAAGCACTTCAGTACTCTCCAAGCTGTTGAAATCCCATTAGAATGATGAGGGGCAATTTCAAGGATCCAGGCTGAGAGGAGGTCAGAGGATCTGAAGTCACCCACTGAAGCTTCCTCCCCAGGGAAGGTAAGGGCCATTCTGTACAGCTGGCCAGGTGAGCTAGAGCTTGTGCTGTCCCTGTGAGTGTGTCTGTCCAGCCAGCATCATTCCTACCTTCCTGAGGCTTCCTCTGCTCCTGGGGCTCCACAGTCCATCTCTCTGCGTCTCTGGGTGGCTTCACTTAGGAGGTTCAGGTCTGTTTCCCAGTTTGTATGACACTGCAGCAGCGTGGGGTATGGTAGATGATTATTTTCCATCTCTTACCTCTCTTCCTCATTCTCAGATGCCCTGGGCCATCTGGTACATGACCTACTGGTTTAGCTTTTATTTCCTGATCTATTTCCTGGTGTCACAGAGACAGGCTTCTTGTCTGCAGTTCAGTGTGTGAGCCGCTTAGGAATGGCTGAGAAAGTTGGCTGGAGAGGTGCCCAGAGCCCAGCGTCTTGGCACCTCTGCTGCCTCAAAGAGCTGGACTGTGAGGCTTGCCAGAAAGGGACCTGTCATCGAAGTACAAAAGAACCTGGGCCAGATTATGGCTCTCAGGCATTGCTGGGATACTTGTCAGGAAATGTCTTCACTGCCCGGAGGTTGGGGGTGTGGAGGCAGGGCCAGGTTACCCAGACAGTCCCTAAAGAGAGGCTGGGAGGTAGACTGAGGATACAAAGAACAATTCCAGGGCTTGACCCAGCCTCCTTCTCTCCCCTAGTGAAAAACTGGGCAGATCTCAGCAGTGTGCTTGAAATGGAACAAGCTGTCCAGTCTCGGTCTTCAAGTCGTGGATGCAAAGAGCTGCTTCAGCTGAGTTTATAAAGCTAGAGTAGCAGTTCCTCATATCACCTCCCATCCCTCCTATCACTTTTTACAATATTGTCCATTTATTTATGCCAGTGAAACATTGTCTGTTTAAACATCTCCCTTCCTTCCAGAAGAATTTTTTTTTAAAAGTCCTTAAGATGGGGTAAACTCCCACAGACCTGTGATTGTTGGTTTCATTTATTTGGCCTGCTTGTGGGTTCCCATGGAGGATGTGGCCTTGGGGGTTAGTGGATGGGGCAGGAGGCGTAATAAACAAGGACAACCTTAGACTCAACTGGCTGAGCCGACAGTGGGTCATTTTCCATCATCCCTGGGATGGCAGACTCTGAGGCCTGTAATCAGTCATTTGGGACGATAGTTTGAGGCTCTGGAACTTCTGCCCAAGGCATCTGTGGCTGAATCAGAGGGAAATCTCTCACAGAAGAAGGAGAACTGGAAGGGCATTTGGCTAATTCCAGGGAGAAGGCAGTGACTTACAAGGACCTTTTTTTCCCCCCTTTTCTGTTGATGAAAATTGATAAAAAGATGTCTTGTGTTTTCTTTGGATATACCAACCCAAAATAACTTGGTTAAGTAGGTTCATTTCATCAACGTGGTGTTTTACATGGAGCCGGCACTCAGTTGTGTTTGGTAACTGCTCATTTCTGTAAGTGCGAATGAAAATTGAATTTGGAACTTGACTTGCATTCTAACATTTTCTAGCTGCAAGATCTGGGGTAATGTAATAGATACTGTCAGTGTCCTGCTTATGTTCCCTAGGCCTCAACCAATGACTGAGGGGAGAAGGTGTATAAACACTCCAGCTCCCTCACCTCCTGGGGTTACTTTGGGACATGGTCTATGCTATCTCTAAAGTTTCCTAGAAGGGCTGAATTGCTCTTAGTGGTAACTTGTTCCCTTCATTGGCTATCTTCCCCTTCCTGGCTTACTTCTCTACCCATTTTTGCACTTGCACTTGAATCTTTGTATCAATTTCTACTTCTGGGGGAACCACCCTAAGATGGGCAATAGTCTGTAGTTAAGAACTCATTTAAAGTCTCAGTTCCCTCCATTGTAAGATGGAAATTATAGTAACTGTATCACAGTGATATTATAAAAATCAAATGAACTATCATATGTGGTTAGGCAGGGACTTGGCACAGAGCAAGCATTCAGGAAAATATTTGCTGGTTCATTGATTAATAAGAAATGGGCTATGATGGATTTGAGAGCGTATAGCATGGTACAACATGGAAAGTTATAATGCTTTGAAGATAGCAAACTGAGGTCACCTGCTCAGTGTTTTCATAGCTAGATTGTAACAGTAAATGTTTATTTAACACCTGGCTCTCAAAAGGGTCAGGTAGAGGAAGGCTGCTTTGTTCTGTTTGCCAATTTCTATGGTGCAAATATTCCCACCATGAACTGGGTGTGGTGGTGCATGCCTGTAATCCCAATGATTTGTGAGGCTGAGACCAGGAGGATTGCAAATTGGAGGCTAGCCTCAGCAATTTATCAAGACCCTAACCAACCCAGTGAGATCTGGTCCAAAAATAAAAAAGAAAAGAGGTCTGGGGATGTAGCTCAGTGATAAAATGCCTCTAGTTTCAATCCCTAGTACAAAAAAAAAAAAAAAAAAA